TTTTTTTTTTTTTTTTTTTGTTGCTAATGCTCAAAAAAGTGCTTCAAAAAATTTCTTTTAGGATAATATTTTAGACAGTTCATTGAAATGATACATTGATAACCCATTTATTTGTTATATTTGTAATTTTTTTTTGTCTGAGGGTTAATTCCAAAAATGAAATCAAACCATTTATTAAGAACCATGTTATCATTGGCATCAGAAAATACACTGGACTGAGAAATTGCACAATGAGCTCAGCAGATACGGTTTCACCGGTTGTTTGCTAACTGTTGCTACTAATAGCCTGCAGGAGTGGAGGTGTGCTCTGTGATGCAGAAGCTTGGCTTGGAGACAGCCCAGAGGAGGAGCTACATTTAAAAGGCAGTTCTGGGGCCAACCAGCTGCTTTTGTTCTCTTGAATGACTGCCTCAGGAAAGTACAGGATTTCTCAAACATGCACAAATGACTCAAAGTGTGTACTTAATACTTTGTGTACGTTTTTGATGAGGAAATAATGTTATAACATGATACAATACCCCTTCAAAACACACCTGCTGTGAACCTGCGTTTCATGTTTTGTTTTATTGTCTTAACTTATTTTTTTCTTCTTGTACAGCACTTCGGTTAACCCTGCATTTTTTTAAAAATGTGCTATAGAAACAAAGTTGATTGATTGATTGCCTCTGGACACAATACTGTAACTAGGATATATGTTGCTTGTCTGGCAAACAGCTATGTACCARTTGGGTGGAGGATGGCAAAAGTTGTCTTTCTGCCCAAACCTAGCAAGCCAACATTTCCACAGTATTCCTGATTTCGCGCCACTACCCATAATTCATAGCGGAAGCAGTTTCYATATTTCCACTTGGCTGTTGTTTACAGTTACGAGGATACACCATCACTGTTTATCAAAGCAGTTTTCATCGAAATTTGGCGTAGATGGCCACACATCAGAGGTGTATATACTGTGAGGATGTTTTAAAAAGCAGAAAGGACAATTCTTTATCAGTGGCTCACCCATCACTGCTCACGGACTGATAAAGCTATGTCCAGATGTTAGATAATAGCTACTACTGACATCAACTACCTCGTCTTTCCCCGAAGACACACACACATGCAAAATCATAAATCAACCATTCTGGAAGTAAAATGTTCATAAGTTCATAAGGTTGATAAATTGACATAAGAGATGGTACTTTAATGCTGTCATCTTTACATCCTAAACAACATGTATATCAGGCAGGTCTTTCTAGAGAAAAAGCCTTGCATGATGTTTTGTGAATAGAATGCAGTCTGGCATACATACGCTTGGCTGCTTTCTAGACAGTCAAGGGTCATTTGACAATATACTGTACCTAGGGCTGTGCGGTATATGCGGTAGACGGTAGAAACGGTATGAAGTTGGCTCATGGTAGAAATTTACCGTCTACCGTCCTGTCGTCAGTTACGTCATCGCACCTGTGTCAACAGGGCTGCGAGCGCAGAGACAACTGAGCAGGAGTTCGAAATATAATGATAAAATTATAGCGTTTTAAAATATGTATAGAGAGAATAAATTCTCAAAATTTCCCCCTCACTGTAGAGAAGTTACGTCAGGATTATCCCTTGACTCTCCCGCAGCACGTCGCACAGAGCGAAGTTTTAACAACCGTTGTTTTTTCACACCCAAGTTGTCAGAGAAAATACTTGTTTTTTGTTACCCACAGAGACGATAAAAAAAAGACGTGGACGTTTGTTCAGTCATAAATCCATCTTGCTAATGTAACAGCCGTCTACTGCTCTGATGATGAAGATGAGCGCGCAGCAGAGCAGCAGCTGATAAGTTCAGCAGGCTCATTGTTTGGCAGGCAGATATTAAAGCAAAAATGCTGGGTTTGATTAAGTTTACAGTTTTCTGCAAAAAAAAGCTCTAAAAATTGCATTATCTTTACTTTTTAGGATAATTTCGTACTTTACTTAATTTCGTAATTTCGATATGTACCATTACCATGAAGGGATTCAATTTATACCGTGATATGAATTTGAGGTCATACCGCCCAGACCTAACTGTACCAGTAGAAGTTATAGAGAGAGCACTTGCCAGCAAAGGTGTGGCTAAGACAACTTCAAACTGACTTGTTTTCATGCTAAGGACAAGAAAATCATCTTCATATGTAATACATTTCCACATGCAAAAGGAAACACTACACACACACTGCAGAACAAAGACTTCTGTAGCCTCACACAGAAAAGTAATAAAAATACAACTCATCTGGATTAGAGTTTTCATACCAATACATTTCAGAGTGGTCACCATCCCTGAGCTGCACTTAGTCTTACTGTTGTGACACAAGGAAAAGTAAAATAACACATGTTAAGAAAATATAGTACAGAGCATTATTATGTGCAATTTTATGTCAACTCAAACACTTACTAAAGAGCAGTGGTGGGCAGTGCTAGTCCAAAGGTTAGTTGCGCAAATTCAAGGGCGCAAAGCGCTTGCGCCCAATGATACTATGCGGAAGTTAATTCTAGAGTTCACCAGCGTAAATACCAGTGATAACATAAGCCATTCTTGCATAATACTGCTGATTAGAGGCACATCACTTTGCTTTTAAGCATTGCACATATCACTGTAGTTTGGAGAGGTGATTTGTTGAAACATACTTTTGGCTCATGTTGATGATAAAGAAACAGCTATTGAGGATTGCTTGTTCTGCTGCTTCTTGATCATATTTTTATGGGCTTCGGTAAGAAAGCATGCAGGATATATGTAATTTTAAACAGTTTATTGGAAAACTGAAGCAAAGCATTCTGGGTACAGGATGGATTGGTGACTGGAAGCAAAATCACAGAAGACAGGAAACCATCTTCATTTCAAAATAAGAACATTAATTTAAACTTTACCTGCTTGTGTTATGTTTCCAGTTACCACCCCTTCTCTTTATGTACAGTATGTGCACAATCACACTGTTTTTCTTTTTGTCTAAATTCAGACTGATCAGAGGTATTTCTGCCTGTTCTGTTACTACTCATTATTGTTTGTATTTCAACATACCGGTACTGTCTTTCATTAAGATAAAGATGTGTTGCAAACCTGACAGATGCAGCATTTTGCAGCCTGATGACTTCTGACTGATTGTAGTTGATGGAAATAACGCTGGTCTGAAGGTCCTGCTCAATTGATGTCAGAGTGATGAAGAAAGACTCCACATACCTGACATAACAAGACAACAACTTTTAAACAGACATACTACTACAAATTATTTGTTTGAAAACATATAAGAACCAGTGTGCCCATGTAATAAACTTTCATTTTATAATACAACACATTTCTATGAACTTCAGTTGTCTTCTGATGTTAGATTCAACATTCAATCAAGTAAAACCACATTTTTCTCAGAGCCAGGCCCAGTCAACAGTATACATATTTTGTTAAAGAAGGCTTATGAACATGTCCCTGTGTTATGTGGACATACCTTGGGAGTATTAGCCTACAGGCCCTCCACTAAATAGCAAGAGTTTACCAGAATTCAATCATATTTGTTTTAGCCTTTTTTTTATTCAAGAACTTCAGCAGACACTTACAGCAGAATGTGAAGCAGTTGGGACAAAGATCAGCATCTCTGTGTGAGGCCATGATCCTCAGTTATTAAATGGGGGATTGTCACCCCGGGGTTTGGAATAAGCCACTAGAGTACCCAATGGAGGAATTCAAATATCTTAGATTTGTTTATAAGTGATAAGAGTGTCTTTTTAAGAGGAGCTTACAGTTTTAGAGGAGGTCACAACAGTATTTTGTACTCTACAAAAAAAAATTTAAAAAACTAGCTGAGGCTATCTGATCATCTGGTAAGAGTTGTGTATACTTTGTAACCTGATCTGGGATAAGTTAAGACAAAATAAATAGATAGAAAGCACAGAATTTTATGGATTGTTAAAACAGGTTTCGTTTTAGCTTATTTTGAAAGTAAAACCTTTTTTCTGCAGAAAACAAATGTGTGTATCCTGCTCCACTTGTGACTAACTTTGATTGAAAACTAAATTTACAATAGCTACTGATTCTGCTACTAATCACTACTAAGCTCACTGACTAATGGTAACATTGTTAGTTCTGGGTATGCCAATTTAAAATAGCTTAGCCCCCTTTGCTGCAGTGTTTCCATTTTTTTAAAGAAAATGCTGATCTGCATAGTTTTCTCTTTGCGGCACTATAACTTTTTTGTACATTTAGGCCTCGATTTATCAAGACGTTTTATCAAGACCTCAGCATAAGACCTTGAGCTAAAACCAAAACAAAACACAGCAGCCCTGCTCTAAGCAGATACTCTGCAAGACACTAACAACTTCTCCCTACTATAATATTGAATTGACCTTATAATGTATTTCTTTTCCTGGTTACACCCCTGGAGGTGTTACCTTTTACGTCAGATGTAGAATGTAACTCATTTTTGTTTAGGCTAAAAGAAAGAACACATGATAAGACACACCAACTCTTTAAACTTAAGGCTGCAATGATCAGGAAGTATAAAATGAAAAACTGTATCTAATGTTCAATTAATCAGTTCCAAAATTTCCTTCAACTCCCTTTCTTTTGACATACATAAAATATGTCAAATAAAACTATGAGGAAATTGTATAAAAACTTTTGTCTTAACTTTTGTTTTTTCTCAAGTCACGTTTGGGCACTGACCTGGTGATCTGCCAAAAATTATTATTATTACAAAATGTGGTAGTGTAATAATCTGGTGCATTATGTAATAAACAATCAAAAACCCGTATTTCTGTTCATCCTAATCATTTTACTTGTAATAAATAGTTGCACATACAACATAATTAAATCTTTATAACTTTGGTTAATAAACACAGAACTTCTCATCTTTTATTTGCATTTTCAGATTTACTGTCCTGATCCCTGTTACAGAAATTATTCCACTTTGTAGACAACTCCCAATATATTACCCCGCCCCTCGCACTGTGACTGCTGGAAATGGGCACCAGTGACCCACGCGACCCTGAAAAGGAAGAAGTGTGTACAGAAAATGGATGGATGGACGGATAAATTAAGTATTGAACACGTCACCATTTTCTCAGTAAATATATTACTAGAGGAGCTAATGACATGAAATTTTCACC